CTTCGTTTGTGCTATCAGTGTCAATCGAAGCTTCTGCTATTAAGACCGGCGCACAATAGATACGTTTTCAGGTTTTTTGACAGTAAGCCCATGCATTATCTGTAAAAAAACCCGAAAACGTATGCATTGTGCGCCGGCCTTTACACTATAACCAACAATCAATACGAAACTAACGATTTTAAATTTGCTCACCACTTTAGTAGCCTATTGGTCCCAAGCAAACGATTACCGTACCCTATTCTAATTGAAATTCTATTACTACACTATGTTTGTTTTGATTCGCTATGAAAGTTTGACAGATAACATCAGGGGTGTGTGGATTCATGCAGAACATGCAGGGGTGAGTGAAATAGCTTGGGACTGCTTGGGACCGTTGTTCTGGTACTGAGTGAGCCAAAAATAATAATGATTTTTTTCGGGACCCAGTGGTCTTAGAGTTACCTCTATGCTATAACCACAAACGAAGTGACAGACGACTAACTGGCGAAGAAATCCATTAAAATAATGTGGTTCACTGTAATAGAATTTTCTTGCAAGCTTGTGCCATCATCCACCAGATGGATTAGTTTTTTTGTTTTGATTTGAACAAAGTTGATTTTGTGTACAATGATTCTTTGACAGTGTGCAAAGAGTGTATCATTTTGTCATTTTTTTATGCATTTCAGTTTTGAGTAGAGTGAAAGAGATAGAACCAAAACATTCTAATACATTTGGTGATAATCACAGGAGTGGAACTTCAAATCAGAAAGTGGCTCCACTGGTCATTTGCGAACACTAGCGCACCTAGCGGTAGAAGGCATCTTCGGCCTGTAGTTAAGATAGGCAGCATGCTATGATAGTGTGAGTGCACATAGAAAGCCTATGTGGAACGCTACCACATCACATCGCTCGTTGAGCAGAAAAACGAGCACTTTTTGATTCACCGATTTGTTTGCACTTCCCCTTCTGTTCTGTGTGATAATGCTAATACAATCCACTAGTAGTGTTGCCATGTGGTACAATCCAGTAGTAGCGGTGTTGCCATGTAATACACTGAAAAATTGAAATAGCAGGTTAGTCACCAAAGTTTTCGAGCCGCTCCGTCTGTCACTTCGTTTGTGCTATAACCATAGAGGTAACTCTAAGACTAGAAGGTTCTGAAATAACGAGGTCAACTTTTTGGCTCAGCTCTGGTACTCTCTTCGGTCCCAAGCTAATCGATTCACCCCTCGAAACATAGGAAAAACCAATAACCCCTCATTTTACCTGTCAAACTTTTATAGCGAATCAAAACAAACATAGTGTAGTACTAGAATTTAGACTAGAATGGGGTACGTTAATCGTTTGCTTGGGACCAATAGGCTAGTCAAGTAGTGAGCCAATTTTAACTCTTTAGTTTCGTATTGATTGTTGCTATAACCCATTGAAAAAGAAAATGGTGGTGAACATTCCGTGGAGCACGCCGGGCGGGTGGGGGCGGACAAATGGCGAACAAAATGGCCGAAACGATCAGTTTTTTGACAGGTATCGTTTTCGCCTCACGCAAAACGCACGCCTCAAATGTTGCAAATATGCGCGCCGGCGCCGCGGGGGCCCGCAAAAGGCGACCAAATAGCGCCGCGGGGGCTCTCTGCCTAAGTCCACCCCGTCCACCGGGCGGTCCGTGGACGCGCTGCTGGCGACTCGCCCGCTGTATGTGGGCAGGGGCCTGGTTGACGGCACAGAACAGAAGGGAAAGTGCAAACATATCGGTGAATCAAAAAGTTGCTCGTTTTTCTGCTGAACAAGCGATGTGTTGCAACCTGGTCTATACAAGGTGTGGAATTGATGGCCTGTACGTATTGGTGCAGTTCGTTTTTCACTCGGCTTTCAGTCGGCTTCGCACGATTTGTTTCTTTCGTATGCTCAAACGCGCTGGTAGTTACGTCATAACGTTTGTTTCTATCAGCATTGGAAATTGAATATGAATTATAGAATAATTGCTGTATGAAGCCAAAATGTATGAATGTTTTTCCACTGAATGTTGAGATAATGCATTGATTATTTTATTAGCACACTGTATACAATAAAAGGCAGCCTAATGTTGAGTTTTTGCCCGTTTCCAACTAAGAAGTTACTATAAAAATACATAACGCATGCTGATATTTCTGGGATACTTTACTAAAGCTTTCAAGCTAGCGCAATCATCATGCAAACATATCTAGAATTTGCTGTACTTCATATTTCACAAATTTGCTTTCGACTGCTATGACGTCGTGGTCATCCTCACCCACAATGTTTACCAACACATACGTGAGGGCTAGATCTCAATACCTTGTATAGACCGGGTTGGATGTGTTGTGGTAGGTTTTAAAATCGTCTTTCTTCTTTCCTTTATTTAACGTCGGTCTCTGTTCCGCAATCTAGTGCCAATCACCAACGGACATCGATTGCCATCCATTGACTGCAATCGAATGTGCAGGAAGGCAGCTTCCACACCGGCGTAAGATATCGCACCCATTCAACACACATGGGCCGGGACCAACGGCTTTACTTCCCTTCCAAAGGAAGACGTGACCAGAGATTTTTATGCCTCAGAAAAATCCCACCGACCTCGGCTAGGATTGAACCCAGACCCATCGAAGTTTTAGAAAGCAGTCACGCTTACCACTACACCGCCGGTGCCGGCTTTAAAATCGTCATTATGATGTAAACAAATAGATTGGATGACATTAATTTCCTCTCAAAATCGGCTAGCGCTCTCTTCATTGATGGGCTTATCCATTTGTTTACATCATAATGACGATTTTAAAAACTCAAAATAATGTACATTTTATTGCACAACTTGCAAATTTTCATCGGGAGTGGTCTTATTTTTCCATTATCTACAGATCTGAACTGATTTGCAAGTGAAATAAACACACATTAAAAATCCGGAAGATCATAACCGCTGAAACAAATTTAAAAATCTTAATTTTTCTCATCAAAAATATATGGAAGCACCAGCCGAATCACTGCATGAAAACAAAATATTCCACATGGATGATGATGTCAAGCACCTGCGGTCAGGGATGGAAAATCATTTACATTAATTTCATGCATTCATTTACATTCATTTGCCTCTAACTTTTTTCATCGACAGGATACCGTTTAATGATGTATGAAACTTTTGTAGCTTTTGATATTAACTTTAACTTTTGTTTATAACTAAAATCTGAATTACCTTATGTTCTAAGGATTCTAGTATTAAACACATTTTTCTTTTAATTTCAAAGTCTCAAGCATTTGACTTTTTTATTTTTTGCAATCTCCAATATATAACAAAATCACGAACTTCGAAAATCAACATCTTACACAGAATCACACATATTTTTCGTTCTCATTGATACTTATTGATTCCTTTTTATGTAACCAGTGCATCAAAAAAAATCAAAGTCTAAGATCTCACAAGCCCCAGTCCCAGAATGTTGAAAATAGAAATGATTTCATGTGTCATATGCCCAAGGTGTACCCGGAACATGTTCGGATGTGTAAAAAGTGATCCTGAGCTCTTTTTATAACCACCATTGCAATTGTTTTTGAATTCCTTTTTGATTATAAATGTCGCATGACGGGTTTTGGTTCTAGTAAGAAGAAACTGGTCACTTCCCCTGAGGTACTCGGTACATGCCCGCATGTTGTCAATTTGGTCCTGTACGCTCAATATGACCACCATGATCTTCTTTTTGAATTATCATATGATTTGAGGGGTTTAAAACGATTAAGAGCAACTATAGACTCACGACCCGTATTAACCGGAACATGATATGGCCATATCACTGGAACCAGTTGACCGATACCAAAAATATTAAATAGCATTCGACAGGTTTACAATACTATACCTTCCATTTGGCTGTTGTTGCGTTCAATTCGGTTCGAGAAACACGAATTGAAAAAAAAAATATTACACACACATACATACACGCAAAAAAATGTTCTGATTTCGTCGAGCTGAGGCGATTGATTCTGAGTCAGAACTACTTAAGAATTATAACCATTACTACTGCCTGTAGGGCTGTTTATAAACTACGTAGACAGTTTTTGAGAGCGAATTTTTGCTGATTTTAGACTTGAAGAAAAATCAGCAATCTTTCCAGAAACATAATGCTGATGAATTTCCCAGCAATTCTTATTTCTGACAGAATTACAATATTTTACTGAAAATCACCAAAGACTTCAACAATTTTTGTGTACTGATTTTTAGAACCTCTCAAACACGGATAAGAATATGCTATTCTATTTATAAAGCAACTTTCTAAATAATTACTTGGAGTAAATTGAAATGTAGCTTCAACTAACATGAAGCATAAGATGCTGTTATTATAATTTAACAAACACCGATACCGACCAATTCAAACGATAATATTACCCTTAGGGCTGAAAACCGGCACTAGCGAGAATCGATTTTACTCTTGTTCTGTACGTTATTCATAGTGTCGGGTGTAGTGCGATTTACAGCGCATCATTATGCGATTACAGTGCACTACTTTAGCCAATATGTACAATGTATAGTACGAGAGTAAAATCGATTTCGCTAGTGTTTTTTTTTCTAAATTTCAGCTGTGTAACGATAATCCTTGCATAGCGCCACCATCATAGTCATAGTCACGTGGCGAATATTTCACGCGTGTTCAGCAACGGTCACACTATCATCAATTACCCGCGTAAGAAAATGCAAGAGAGAATGGGTCAAAAGTGAGCGAATGAATCAAAGTTTCTCTTTCCTACTGCTCAGGTCTTTCTTAATCCGAGCTGAAGTTCCAGTGTTTGCCTGACGTCAATGGTATTTTGTTTGATGTCCCTACGAAATCGTTCAAAACTCCGCACGGTACTCACGCTCTTACCAAGCTTTCTCTCGCGTCAGTTTGTTTACTTCTCTCCCGATCAGCTGTTTGTGCGGTGAGCGCGGTGAGCGACCAGTGACTGTGCTTCATTTCTCATTTTGACAGCTGCCAAACCCGTACAATAAAAACAACAACCACTTGAATCAAAACAGATTTTTATTTACGAGTAATCACAACAAGCGGAATTTGCTCTCGTTTTTGTCAGTGCTATTTTGGGTGAATAATTCGCAAATCATCGGTATCGTGCATCGGAAACAGTGAACGGTCAGCTGCGCTTCAAACATAATGGGAAACCAGTTGGTAGGTCTAGCTCCGTCGCAGATTTTCCCCGTCGAGCACTACCTAACTGGATCCTTCGAATCCGATATGCAGTATGAATCGGGGTTTGTATTAAATCAATGAAAACGCAACTCGATGATTGCTAATGGGGACGATTTTCAGAATGGGCAGTACCAGGTTCCTGAAGGTGGCACGAGCCAAAACCGACGAAGGTCTGGTGGTGGTGAAAGTTTTCGTGAAACATGATCCATCGCTGCCACTGGAGCAGCACGTAGATAAGATAGAGTACATCAAGAAGAACCTAGCCAATGCCGTTAATTGTTTACCGTTTCAGCGAGTGTTGGTAAGATTGTGATAAATTTCTTTATTCCCAGTGTAGCATAATTATTATTACTGATTGGATTGTAGACAACCGAACGGGCCTGTCTCATCATCCGTGAGTACGTGAAGCACAGTTTGTACGACCGAGTTTCGACCCGTCCCTTTTTGACGCTGATCGAGAAGAAATGGATCACGTTCCAAATCCTGTGCGCCATGCATCAGTGTCACAAGCAGAAGATCTGCCACGGAGATATCAAGCTGGAGAACATAATGATAACCTCTTGGAATTGGATTCTGCTGTCGGATTTTGCCTCCTTCAAACCGACATCCCTCCCGGAGGATAACCCGGCGGACTACAGTTTCTTTTTCGACACAAGTCGCAGACGGACATGCTACATTGCTCCGGAACGATTTGTCAAGTCGGCCAGTGGGGAATCGAAACCGGATGGTCCCCTGGTGGGAGACGGACCTTGTTATACTGGTAATCTTCAACCCGAAATGGATATATTTTCCGCTGGGTGTGCTTTGTTGGAATTGTGGACCGAGGGAACTGCTCCGTTTGAATTTTCTCAGCTTTTAGCGTATCGTCGAGGGGAAGTAGAAATGGTCAACAAGCATCTGGAGTGCATTGACAATGATCGGTTGAAAAGTTTGCTGCAATCGATGTTGAGCCCAAATCCAAAGGATCGTAAGTCGGCGGAGATCTACCTGGACCAAGAGCGGGGAAAGCTTTTCCCGGAGTACTTCTACTCATTTTTGCAATCGTACCTGCAAATGTTTTCGACGATTCCGATTGTTCCTGCAGACGAAAAGATCACCAGATTGCATTCGGATATTGATCAGATAGTTAAGTTTGTCACCGGTGGAGATGCGCAGCAGCATGAGGCAGTTGAGCATATTGATTACGGGGGAACAGAGAATCCGGAAAACTTCAAGCCGCAGGCCGACAATGATGGTCTGATTCTTATCACGGCTGTGGTTACGTCTTGCATTCGAGGTAGGTTTTTCATGTAAAATTTCCCAACTGACTTTGTCTTCAAAAGGTTCTTTCTCCTGTGATGTAGGTCTGAAATTCTGTGGATCGAAATTGGCAACATTAGAAGTCCTTCAGAACCTTGCTGAGCATACAACTTCCGAAACCATCCTGGATCGCATCCTCCCGTACATTCTTCATCTAGCGCAGGACACCACTCCACGGGTCCGTGTCAGTGCTCTAGACACCCTAACCTTATGCCTAGGTCTGGTCAAGAACCTTTCGCGGAGCGATGCCAACGTGTTTCCAGACTACATCCTTCCGGCAATTGCTCCACTGGCAACTGACAGTTCCACAATGGTGAGAGTAGCCTATGCTAAGAATATCGCCTCCCTGGCGGAGACCGCCGTTGGATTCCTCGAGCAGTGTCAATTCAGCTGCAGTTCCGAAAATCACCCGGCACCGCACTATGAAACCGAACTCAGCGCTCTTCACGAGATGCTTCACCAATCGGTGCTCTCCCTACTCACTGACCCACAGCCCAGCGTGAAGCAAATGCTCATGGAATCGGGCATCACCAAGTTGTGCGTCTTTTTCGGTCGCCAGAAAGCAAACGATGTTATCCTCTCCCACATGATAACTTTTCTAAACGACAAAGAGGACAAAAGCCTCCGAGGATCCTTCTTCGATTGCATCGTAGGGGTGGCTGCCTTTGTCGGTTGGCACTGCTCTCCCATGCTGATTCCTCTGCTGCAGCAAGGGCTAACCGACCCGGAAGAATTCGTTATCTCGAAGGCGATTCGAGCGACCACCTCTTTGATCGAGCTCGGACTGATCCAGAAACCGGGAATCATCGAGTTCATTGCGGAATGTGCATGTTACCTGAACCACCCGAATCTCTGGATACGCCACGAGATTGTTGGTTTAATTTCCACGTCGGCTAGAGTGCTGAATGCTCTCGATGTTCAGTGCAAAATTATGCCATCCATTGCGAACCACCTGAAGAGTCCGCTCATTCAGGTGGAGAAACCGGAACTGTTGATGGATTGCTTGCTGGCTCCGATCCCCAGGAGTATCTACGATGCTGTGGTCAAGTGTCACGATATCAATCAGTTGATAGAGGTGCTACGGGAACGAAGAGTGGCCCGGAGCAAGTGCGGTGATGGGTTCATTCCGCAATACGGGGAGATGACGACGCAGATGAAGAATGTAAGTACAAAGTTTTTGTTGCTCCGGTTTTCTCTATTACGTCAGGTAGGAATGGAAATATGTAGATTGTCAATGCGGTCTTATAACTACATGCTTTAGATCACATTTACACGAGTAACATCACTTCAAACGTTTTCGCAAGTAGTTCATAATCGAAGATTAATTAAACAATCTCTTCTCCTTCCCGCCCAGTTATTCCGACGTCTTTCGACCGAAGGTCTTACCGACCTGATCGAATCGCAGCTACTTTCGATGAGTGCCCACCTGATCAAACTGCACCGCTACAAACTGGCGGATACTCGGTTGCCACACAACAACGGACGAATATCGCTGGACGTGAAACCGGCTCACGTTCGCGAAATTCTACTTTGCGATCGCACCAACAAGCCCGATCACACCACGAAAAACAAACAGCGCAAAAGCGATTCGGACGTAACACAAGAATGGCAGCACATGTTCACCGCCGTAGATTCACATTCCCCCTCTCCGACTTCGCCGTCCAACGATTCGGTTACGTCGGTTCTGGCCGTAGCGAATCTGGCCCCACCGCCACAGCCAACGCCTACCTCCAGTCTGGTAGAGTACAGCATGCCCGAGCGAACTGCCATGCAAGAACGCTCCGCCGAATGTAGACTAGAGTTTGAACAGCTTCTCAACAAGTTGAAAACTAGGTACGCTTCGTACGCCCTAAACAAGGAACATCGAGACCCAGCGTTCAATGCACATCCTCTGCCCTCCGGTTGGAAAATGAACGGAACGATCGTAGCCCATCTACATGAGCACAAGGCAGCCGTCAGCCGGATGACTACCTTAAAACCGTTCGGTTCGCTGTTTGCTACTGCTTCGATCGATTCCACCGTACGTCTGTGGGACTGTAACAAACTGGACGGACAGCAGTCTATCAACCGCTCGCGGCAATCGTACCATGCAAACACTCCACTGCATGCCATTGCCGCGTGCGACGCCGGTCAATCGTTGGCTATTGCCGGCAAAGATGGCGCTTTGCTACTGTTGAAGATTGACACAAATTCAAGCAAGATGGCACTGCAGCAGGCACGGCATCTAGATTCCAGCACCCGGGTTGATCGAATCGGTGGGGAGCCTCAAGACGATGGCCCAGTCGTAGAAATGCAACCCCTAGATCAGGGTGCACAGAGTGTAATAGTGTATGCAACACTCTACGGAGCATTGGTTGGCTGGGATATCCGTATGCCGGGCTTTGCGTGGCGATTGGAAAGCGACCTTCGGAAAGGAGTCATCACTACATTCTGTGTAGATCCAACCAGTTCTTGGCTAACGGTTGGCACCAGCAGTGGTCGACACATCTGCTGGGATCTACGATTCCGACTACCAATCGCAGAGATTAAACATCCACACGATTCTCGAATTCGACGAGTTTCGCATCACCCTACGGAACCTTCCTGGTTGGTATCTGCTTCACAGGGGAATAACGAAGTCTACGTGTGGAATATCGAGACCGGCCATCGGCAGCAGGCATTCTGGGCCAGTTCCAGTCCACCGTTGTCGAACGCTAATGTATCTTCACATTCCGTGTGCGCTCTGCTTCCCGGCGTAGTAGATGGCAACGGGTTCCTGCTAACCGGAGGAACTGACCAACGGATTCGCTCTTGGGACCCAGTAAATGTAGAAAACTGTTCTCTTGTAGTGCCCGCTCCGAGGGATTACCTGTCCACGTCGAACATTTCCTACGAGTAAGGCACAACTCTTGAAAAGTTTTCCTTGGTCTTTACATTAAATTTATTTCGCAGATCCCGTCTGATCGATGGCACCCGAGTGATCTCCGAGATTCACTACAACAGCGGCGGAGGCTCCGGTGGACCTGACAGGAATGCCAGAGCTGGCTCGGAGGACATTCCGCGATCAGGGCCTGAAATGCCTGCTCCTGGACATCACGATGTGATCAGTGATATGTTGATGTGCCGAACATCGAAGCAGACGTTCGTGGTGTCGAGCAGCCGGGATGGAGTGGTCAAACTGTGGAAGTAAGTGATATCTATATTCAATTCTCTAGTTGTGAGATTGGCGTAATATATTGGCTTTATTAAAGTTTATTCAAGTGTAACATCGGGTCTGTCTCTTTTCCGAAATCATTTAGTGTGGGATTTTTCAGACATTCGCACTAGTTCGGTGTAAACTATTTTGGGCAGAAAAGTGGTTCTGCTCCGGTTGTTGGTTGTGCTAAATATACTAACAAAAGGAAAATGCATAGAAAATGTAATGGGTTCATTTTTGTTTTCTCTCTACGGATAGTTAACTAGAAAGTAACAAGTAGAATGTCTCAATTTTATGTTATTCTAAAATGTGGAGAGTTGAAATGCCTTTTGGTACAGTGAGAGCTTAGTGCGTTCCTTCAATTTGGTCGAGGCAGATTGCAAAGGATGCTCTTGCTCAGTGGCGAGATCGGTCGTTGTCATGTAACACTCAGTTTCAAATACTGTTTTTCAAGAAGCGGTTTTTTGAGACAAAGTACGTTTTACATGTTGCAACAAGAAGTTCATGAATGAATTGTGGCGCTTACAACGATTACCTAAAGATGTGATATGAAGGGTATTTTTATTAATTATAGTCACTTTAACACTTTTGGGTCAGTCAGTTTGTCGCTAGGCAAACGAGCTCCTTTCATTACTACACACCAATGATCCATTTGTTTAATGAGAGAGAGAAGGATTAGTATTTTCCATTTAATTCCACTACTTTATTTGCTTATCCTTGACAGATACGCGTATTTCGTCTACAATGTGCAGACTTCTTCAGTGTCTTGTACAAGACACTGAAGAAGTCTGCACATTGTAGACGAAATACGCGTATCTGTCAAGGATAAGCAAATAAAGTAGTGGAATTAAATGGAAAATACTAATCCTTCTCTCTCTCATTATACAGGTATTCCACTAAGACGCCCACATTCATCAGGATCCATTTGTTGTTATTCCAATGTATTCACATTAACAAATAGAGTGATTAACGATGTTTTACTCAGTAAGCAAAAATGGTCGCTCAAAGGCCACCAAGCCCCTCATATCACATCATACAAGCTACGATCGCGGTGTTATTGAAATCATTCAAAACCGACCCCTACGGTGACGTTGATAACAATGATAAGTTTCACAAAACACACGATAATCAAGAAATGTTACTATAAGCCTCTTTAATATGACAGGACCTGGAATTTATTCATACTCAAACTCTAAGGCGGTGCGCTTTACACAAGAATAAGCCTCTACGACCAGGCATGGAAAAACAGTTACATTGATTTACATTCATTTGCCTCTAACATTTTTCATCAACAGCATTCCGCAAAATGATGTATAGAGCTTTAGTAGGTTTTGTTATTAGCTACAACATTTTCCCTTATCACAAATCTGTATCTCTTATGCATCACGAATTAGAGCGGGCAGACATTCACTGAAAAACAGTAGTGGCTTTCGTTTGCTCTGGTTCGTCATGCATAAGAGCTACGGATTTAAGTTGTGGATAAAAATTGTAGCTAATAACAAAACCTACATAAGCTCCATACATCGTTTTGCGGAATTCTGTTGATGAAAAAAGTTAGGGGCAAATGAATGTAAATGAATGCACGAAATGAATGCAAATGATTTTCCATGCCTGTCTACGACCGATGATCTTTTGAACCTGGAGGCAAAAAAGCTACGTAAAAGCGCTTATGCCTTGATTAAATTCTACTTTTAAGCGACGTTCGTTGTTTCGATTTGGTCCTTAAAGCCTGTATAGAGATGACACACCTAAGAACACATCAAAAACTAATCGGTCAACGTGAAAAAAAAAATCAAAATGAAATATTCGTAGGCACCTAACCGATCGCGCGATCGAGGTCATCCCTCTGGCAAATAGGAAACGATGAAAATAAATCTCGATTACTCCCCCGAAGGGACGCATCCGACCCCAATCCAGCGCAACCGGCATCCCGCCCACGCATGCCAAAACCACCATCAGATAGAGGAATTTCCTCCCTACCTGATAGGAACGCGCCTGCACGCGCTTGTGAGCTCCCAGCCACACCAAACCGACCATCAAACGCGCTGCCCACAAAAGCAAGACACGTCCCCTCGAAAATGCAATCGAGAAATGTATAAGAACAATCTTCAACTGGAACGTACTCACTAAATCAATATATCCGGGAGTGCATTCCCGATGCTTCCAAGCATATTGTTCTCTAGTCAGCCACAGAATAACTCGCAATCGACTAGATTTTCAATAGCGACCAAAAATATCAATTAGTACCGTCCCAATGACGCGTTCATCTAGATAAAATTGATAAATAGCAGATTTTTAGCGATGGGCCCAATCTTAGATCCATAGGCCAACATTAGAGCAATTTGCCCTATGTCTTATTTTTGAAAATATTTGAAATTCTGTGAAGAAGTGTTTCTGATCTTCAGAATAATAGGGAATAAACCGTTTCGTTTTTCAAGACTTTGACAAACATACAAAGAACTTTATTTAAACCATTTTGAAAACACTGTGCAACAAATCGGATTTTTTTCTAGGACTGAGAAAGTTGACCATATTTGACTTTCTTGTGGACCCCTGAGTAAAAGTCCTGAACATACCTACAGCTATCCTCCGAAGAACGCGTTACCCACTGAGTTGCACCCACCGCTTTTTTTCGGCGGGGTTTCTACCAGTCGGTCTGATTTTTTGCATGTGAGTAGGGTCAATGGAGAACCAGTCACTCGCAGATATTGGGAAATACGTGGACAACACCGGCTAAGGAAATCTGATGTAATCTACCCACAACTTGTTCCCAGAGACTCAATCTTGCTTCCTCCCCTTCATATCAATGTAGCGATAGTTAAAAACTTTATTAAGTCAGTGGACAAGCAAATGTTTGCGTGACGTGTTCCCAAAACTAAGTCGAGCTAAATTTGAAGAAGCTAACAAGTAAATATCTATATGATAGAATAATCTTAATTGTATTTGTTCGGCAGGAATACTTAATGGCCCGGATATCAGGAAGCTAGAGAAGAGTACAGTCTTCGAAAACAATCTTTTGACAAAGGAACAAGTTGCCTGAAGATGCGTTAAAGATATGATTCATAATTGTCTTGGAACAAATCGGTCTCCAAGATTCCGATCAATTATTGAGAGTATGATATCGTAACATGCTTTAGTGAGGCAGCAGACCACCATCATCGGGACAACATACCAAAATCCATAAAGAGGACGGTACCAAACAAATTATTACGTGTTAGGTTGTGTAAGTATGTTCATCCCAAGTAACAATTTCGGTTTTATGAAGGTTCTGGAGACCATGATTTAGACTTGTAGCATGCTTTAAAACCTCGATAAAACTTGCAATGTTACTTGGGATATTACGTGTTAGGTTGTGTAAGTAGGTTAGGTTGTGTAAGTATGTTCAAGACTTTTACTCATGGGACAACAAGTTAAATTTGATCAATTTTCTCAGTCCTAGAAAGTCGTGTTATTCTTATAAACAGGCAAGGCTGGTAACATTTATAAATTGAATAAAATTACAATAAAGTATGATTAAGATCATCTGATTTAAAGTGTTTTAATTTTTTGGGATGTTAACATACCAGCACATACTATGTTTTTAACAGTTGATTTTCATGAATTCTAGATTTTTAGGAGGGTACCTAATTTAAAAAATCACCCAAACGAGGGGTTAGACAACGATATATTGTTTTCAAATGTTCTAGAAAAATGCACCTCAAGTCTCTTCCTGAAAAAAACTCTTCAACGGCAATGTCGACCGACATCGGAACAACATAACAAAATTCATATAGAGGGCGGTACCAAAAAAATAGGACGTGTTAGGGTATAAGTTTGTTCGAGACTTTCACTCAGGGGACCACGAAAAAGTCCAATAAAGTGATTTTTCTCAGTCCTAGAAAGTCTTGTTGCACAGTGAAAGCTACACACTAAGATTATTTACCGACATCTCAACAGCTGAACGTTCGGTAAACAGTTCGGTAATTTTTCACAGAATTTCTGTGATTTTTCACAGATATTCGTTGAAACATAACGGACGTTCAGCTATAGAGATTTAGGTAAAATTTCACAGATTTCGGTAAAATAATCTTAGTGTGTTTGGATATCAACTAAGTTCTATAAAACTCATACAAAAGTTCCTGTAAGCTGTCAGAACATCATATTGAATTTCTACAAAGCTCCCTGAATTCAACGAAATTCTAGAAAATCTAGCCGAGCTTCTATGAAGTTCTCTGAACTTCTAAATAATTCCTTACTCTTCAAAGAAGTTTTGCGAAGTTTCTCGATTTTCTATTTAATTCGCTCAATTTGTACGAAGATCGCTGAACTACTATAAATTCGCTGCCCTTGTATAAAGCTTTTCAAATTTTACAGATTTTTGTTTATTTCCTGTTCCCTGAATTGAAATTATATACAAATCCTTAAACTATTCTAAATTGAACATATGTAAGATCAATACAATCAGCTGACAACAAAGAATTCGGCATTCTAACGCGATATGTCTCAGGACTTCAAAATAGTCTCAAAAATAGAATCGTAACGTATTGCGGATTTTACACCTGATTAGACTCCCGCGCTAAAAATAAGTACACAGTAATATTTTCGCACTGGTCATAAAAGTTAAATATGGAGCTTCTTAATGCTTTCTAGAGCTTCTATTCAACAGTGTAGCTTGCTAGTGATGTTCTAAAGCTGTTACTGCTTTCAAATAAGTCGATTTTTAAATTTTCTGGCCTGTGCGAAAATTTTACTGTGCAATTATTTTTTGCACAGTAGTCTAATTTGGTGCAAAATGCGCAATATATGGTGAACATTATTAGTGTGACTAAATATTATTATTCTTAAGGCCATTATTTTTCCCTTTTTATGGCACAGACCTGTTGGTCCATATTGCTCTTAAAGCCATTATAACCATTGCTAATCAGCGACGTTCCGTAAGATTCATAGGTTAGAGGGGGCATCTGTCCGAGCTAGATGTGTGTTGAGGATGAAATGTACTGGCCCCCACCTCCTCGTACCGGGATAACACCGCTGTTATCAATGGTTACAAATTTTTACAATATGTTATTTTTGTATTATATAAATACAGAT